TTCTTTGTTTTAGTGGGGTGGGGTAGAGGTTAGGGGGGGGGGGGGGGAGGGCTGTTTTAAGTTTCAGTGTAAGGAGAGCCTAGTTCACAGCTGTGCCCTGTCCTTTTCACTGTCTTGCTTTTGCTGGTAGGAAAATCTAGGGCTCTGATTACATAGCATGTGATTGAGAAAGACATGAGAGGAAAGAGATGTTCCTGTGTGTGGATTTCCATGCTTGGGTCCCAGCATGGTACATGGAGAAGGGAAGTGGGTGTCCGCAAGAATTGCAAGTTTTTCATGAGAATCTATTCTAGATAGGCATCTTGAGTTTAGAGAGATGAACAAAATACTTTTGTTGTGTTTTTGAGTCTTGAGTTCTTGATTCATGATCCATTTGTTCTTTAAGCGTTCTCTGCATATTCAGACCCTTTATGAGGTTTTTTGTTCCCTCCCCCCAACAGAAATGACACCAAAGAAGATGTGTTTGTACACCAGGTAAGAGAGATTATAGCAGTGTTATATTTGTTGTATGATGAGAAAGGATGTTTAAATTGATACAGAGTTCTAAATTATGGTTTATTTTGGAATGAGAGCTCAGTTCAATATTTTTAAGAAGGGCAGATAAACTTTCCTCTCCCACTGTATTAACTATTTTCAATCAAGTTTTCTTTTTAAATTTTGAATGAAGTACTATTCACTTAAACCACTTTTAAATGTTAAAGCCTATTATGGTTCCTTCGCAAAACCACCTTCTTACTGTCCTGACGGTGTGCTTCTCTTCAGTGGTTAGCTAGGGCCAGCCTTGCTTCTGCCTGAGCTGGTGGGTACAGCTCCTCTCTCTGATGTGTAAACAGCACCAGAAGCAGGTTAGGGTGTGTCTGTCCCAAACACAAGAAAGCTGGTCCCCGGTCTAGTTCTCCCTCCTTTTGACTGAGACATGACTGACACATGTCTCATTCAAAAGACTCCACTCCCTTCCATTTGAAGAAAATGGAGAAAGTAGGTGTCACACAAAGCTCTGCTGCAAGTGTTTCGATTTTTCTCAACCTTGGGAGTCATGTTATTATTCTGGACTGTTTACAAACTAGGTTAAGAGAAAGCACACTCATCTTCACTTTCCTTTTGTGCATTCAGTTTTCAATGAATTGTCTGAACAGATGTGCCATTTTAGGTGTATCATAATGAAAACATGTGGCAGCTGGCACACTGTCCTTTTGGGCTGCAATGGTAGAGCTTTTCTCTCTCTCTCTCTCTCTCTCTCTCTCTCTCTCTCTCTGTGTGTGTGTGTGTGTGTGTGTGTGTGTGTTGGGCTGGAGTTTGGCAGTTTGGAGTAGATAGCCACATCTAAAATGCTAACTGTATTTTCCATCCTCAGTATTTCTGCTCTCCTGGATACGATCCTTTCATATCTAGATAACTGGGGTGGATTTGTTGAGCTACAGTGACTCTTAGTTTAAAGCCATAGCAAACTAAAAAGGAAATGTCACTTGGAACACCTAGACGTTAATGACCTTTGGGGATAAGGCTCTGTTCTGTGACTTCTGGGGTAAAGGGGTTTCTATGTTGGTGGCCAGCCTTCTAGCCTGTGAGCTAATGACCTGATTCCAGCCCCATGAGGTTGTGTGGTGAGTCACCTCAGTGTGTTGAGGCCTGCCCAGTTTAACAGGAAAAAGGGATGGAGCAGTCAGGGAGAGGCTGTTTTTGGAATGGCTGAATGTTCATGCTGTGTGCGTATACATCCTGTCCTGAGCTACTGCTTTCCTCTGGAGTGGGTGAGGTCTCTGCCCTATTGGATCACTACCCCCTCCTCTCCCTCCTACTCAGAGTAGAGGAAGGGCTGGATTACACATGCCTAATGACTTTATAAAATAAGGTTGACCTAGTTCCATAGAAACTCCCCAGCCCTTTAACTGTTTAGAGATGCAAGCCAAGGAAGTGGAAATTTGTCATTAGAATTCTTCTCTTCCCAGAGTGTTAGAAAGAGAAAGAATGAAAGAGAAAGGGCCTTTTTCCCTCGTGGATACGGAGGTGCAGATGCATTCTGCGCAATGGCATCTTCATTAGCTTTCTGTGAGTAGCTGGCTTGTGAACTGTGTGATGGGAAACACTGACTGACTCCCACAGATATAGTGTATGGATGCCAGTCTTCCCCTATCTCACTGGGGCTGTTACCTTAGTAACGTCAGATAAGTCACAACTTCCCTGCCAACCTCATGCTTCCCCATCCATAAAATGGGCTAGCTAGGGAAAGCCAGGTTACCGCTCGTATTTTTTCATGACTGAAGTAATTTTGTTATTCATTGTTAATATTATAATATTTATAGTCATAAATATTTATCCCATTGATATTTTTTCTTCATCACTTCTCCCATTTTATTTATTTATTTATTTATTTATTTATTTATTTATTTATTTAATTTTATGAGACTGATTCTTACTCTGTAGTCCACACCTGTCTTGAACTTCCTGTGTAGCCCAGGCTGCCCTCAAGCTCAAAGTGATCCTCTTACCTCAGCTTCTCAAGTGCTAATATTACAGATTGAGGCTATCATGCCTGGCTCTGTTTATTTATTTACTTTTCAGACAGTGTCTCATGTAGCCCTGGCTGACTTTGAACACCCTGATCCTCCTGTCTCTACACATGTATCACCATGCCCAGCCACACAGCCTCACACATTTTATTTTTGGAAGTTCCTTTTTTAAAAAAGATTTTATTTTTATTTGTGTGGTGTAGGGGTGTGTGTGTGTGTGTGTATGTGTGCAAGCATTTGAATCCTGTGCCCACAGAGACCAGAAGAAACTTTTGGATATCCTAGAGCCAGAGTTAAGTAAGCAGCCTGATGTGGAGGTTTTTTTTTTCTTTAAAAA